CCGTCTACTCAGTTTCTTTCTGAAACAACATTTTTCAAGAAATTCTTACAATTTGCGAAATTTGAAATGCAATACTTGCTTAAAAGTGCAGAATTTGTTTTACCCCAATACTGCAAATGGAGAAAACCATTTCATTGGATTCTCTGTGGTAAAATTGCTTAGTGTGGTAAGGTTAGGACTAAGATGAAAGTAAGGTGCTGGTTCAAGGGCACCCAGGTATGCCTTTCTCATTGTTCCAATGAGAACAGGGTCAATTTTTGCACACGCTGCATGGTCTGTGCATGTGCAGTAGGATTAAGAAGCAGTGTGTATCAGTTGAAAAAAACTAAATTACTGCAGAGAGTTGTAACAGTAAATACTGGGTTGTTTTCCTATTTACACCCTAAATGAGTCTCAAATAAAATGTATTAACCAGTATAAAGGGGTATTTCATAGGATTAAGACAAGCACCGTTTGTTAAGTGCATGTCAATGTAAGAGTATTATACTAATTATTGTTGTAATGTAATGTAGTTCTCAGTGAGGGTAGTGCCGAGAGGTGACCTGTGCAGCCTGTGAGAGGCCTATTTCTGCACGCGCTGCGTGGTGAGTTATTTAAATTTAAACTGTAATGTAATTTATTTTTGTTCAGTGTGATTTTGTAACGGTTAGATGGAATGTTGAAACCGTCAAACTGAAATGTGTTTTTTTTACCGTTTTCCCTCACGGTAGAAAGAACCACTACCGTAGTTTGTGTAGTCAAATATATCATTATATGTCATTTATTTTGCTTTTTATTATGTTCCAAACTAACAAAACAGATCAGACACCATACTAACCTGGAAATAAAGAACCCCAAATATATATCTGTGTCCTGTGCTGGTTATTCTTTGCCAGGCTACTCAATTTTACCTAGGTAAATTCCTTTAGTAGTTTAACAACTAAAACAAAAACAACCAAGCACAACAGCTTCAAAAGAAAAAGAACATACATTGAAAACAAATCTGGGGAACAACAAAAACACAGAATCTAATGCAAGAGCTTTTTCAAGTCTTCGGTACTCTATCGTACTCCTCTTGTCTCAGTAGACCTCCTCATATATTTGTGTGCAGGTCAGCTGGAGGTCCACAGCCCAAGGTAATTTACGTAGAGGGCTGCATCAGCATGCGTGGGCTGCAAAGGAAAAAGTACAGGTTTATTCCATGCTGAAAAGAGAAGGAAACACAATGTGGACCCTTCTTCAGGTGCTATGTGCAATAAACCTTTAAATGTTCCTTTGATGTTAATTTAGACCAGATCTCCAGCAAATACATAACAGACTACAATCCCCCTAAATAAGGTGTTAAGGTGTAAAGTGAATCCCACAAGAGAAGGAAACACAACATTCCAGCTGTGGAGCCTTCTTGTGTGACAGGGAATAGACCTTTACTTGGTTCCTTTGATTTTAATTTAGACCTGATCTCCAGGAAATACCTAAGAGCACCTAAACTCGTCAGTTGCTTTCAGTACCTAAAGACACAGACCACACTATTCTTTGCCAGACTCCATACATCATTAAGGACAATCACATATAGCTTGATTTTGTTAAATGAAGTATTGATTTCCTTTCTGGAACAACTTGTTTTTCGAAGAATTATTTTTCCGAAATAAGAAATACAAATCTTGCTTATCGGTGAAGAATAAATACTGCCAGCTGGCAAGAAAATGACAGCATTTTTTTTCTTTTACAAAAAACCTGCATAGGGAGATGTAGAATAAAGATCCACTTGAGACGTTTTCGTTGTGCAAGGGCAAAAAAATAAATTTGTTCCGTTTCACAAAATTCA